GCAGTAGATGTGGTGCCCACGTGTTGCCACGCTGAAAGGAGGGGCTGGCGCAGCTGAGGGTGTCTCTGGCTATGTTCAGAGGCGTCCTGCCTCGCCTGGCAGAGGGACTGCTGTGTGCTCGGCAGTTCTGGACCTTGGTGGGTACTCATGGTCCTGTCTCCTGGACCACACCGCTTTGCCACCACATCAAGGCCCGATCAGGCATCCCTCAAAGTCTTCCCTCTGTGTTGCCTGGGTTTGCTCTTCCTTTCACAATCTTGACATCCGTCCTAGGAAGCTGATAGATCTGCATAGCTTTTTCAGGTGGATATTACAGGGCTTATTGCCTTTTTTTTTTTTCATCTTTGAGGGTCCAAAATAGCAGCAGTCTGTTTGCTGCGCAGATTCACTGCTTTATCAACTTCCTGTGAGTCACTTTTGATGTTTTGCACATGGTTCCACTTCACTGCCTCTCGCATGTCAGGTTTTTGCAAGGATTTGTGGAGCCCCTGCTGAGAGGGAGGTGGTCTCAGAGCATAATGCCAGGGCACAGGGCAGAGCATTCCTGAAAACTGCTTGCTTTGGCAGGGGAAGCTGCTTGGGCCAGCTCAGAAATTATATCTTTTTCTCTAACTGTCAAATTAATACTTTGTGTTTTATAGCACATCCTGGGTAGGGCCATGCTCAGAGAAATCCCGTTTGCACAGACAGGTCCATATTAGTTAATGTGAAAAGAAAAGGCAGAGGAGATAACAACAAAGATGATCTCTGAGGATCCTGCCACTGATGCAGTGGAGGGATTTTCCCAGGGTAAAGAAGGACCTGGAAGATTGTTCCCTGTCCCAGCCCTTCCACGTGGCCTGACCATTTCAGCCCAAGGTCTTCCCCGCTCCTTGCTCCCCTGGCCTGGGTCCCTCAGAGGTTCTGGGTGGCTTCCCTCCCGTTACGCAAGCAACAAATCTTCCAAGCAGAAGTGACAAACGGTGAGTTTTTTTAACCTTTCCTCCCTGTTTGCACGTGCACATTCCAAGGAAACATTCCCAAGTCTTATTCATAACCGGTATTTGTTCCTTTGAAAAGGCTCTTTTATGTTTGGTCAGCTCATTGATATCTGTGTATTTATTTTGTTCAAATTCCAGAAAGAAGTAACCATACATTTATAAAACCTACATGATCTTGAGTATCTGGCTGGCTGTCTCTCTTGTTATTCAGATAATTTTTAATTCCTTATTTTTCCAGCCTGCTTCTGTTGGGAAGGTTGATCTGTTCTGCAAACAGGCCGTTGCACATCTGGCTGTTGCTGGCACTTCTCTGCATTGCCAGTGATCCTGCCCTGAGACAGTACCCATCTTTTGTACTGTGATCAAACAGGAGGGCTCTTGGTCCTATGAGCTCTCTAACTAGAGAGCCAGAGTGAGAATCCTCTGAAGCGCTGTTGCCTGAGGCATCCTTACACACGCAGGAAAAGATGGACTGGAGAGGGCTTGGGAGGAAAGGTTCTCCCCCAGGCCATCCCATGGCTACTTCAGCTTTCCTCGGCCATCTCCGTCTGCCAGATGTGACTAGAATGGCCAGATGTCCCAGTGCCATTCTCCCCCTCCTCCTGATTTTTCTCTGCTGTCTCCTGGGGACAAAAAAAGTTTATTCACTTCTCATCCAAGGGTGGCATTTCTTAGCTGCTAAATATCTATCCCATTCTTTACCCACCTGCACTGCATATATAGAGTACAGAGATATGTTGCTTGCTAATAAAGTTTGGGATCTTCAGGGTGGGAAAATTGAAGGTAACGCAGAGGCTTGTTCACAGCAGGATTTTCCATGTGAGTACTCCTGCGCAGCTGACTGGCATGTGATTCTCTCATAGTCATTCCTGCTTAGAATGCAAAACATCTTGAGTGACTTCAGCCTAACCCAAGTTGAAATAAGGATAAATATGCTCTAGTGCAAACAGGTTTTTACACCTATGCAGCAAAACGGGTGTTCAGCAATACAGCAAGGACAGTGCAAAATATGCTGTTGGGTTGACAAGCCCTCTCTCCACCTCATTCATTTTTTCCTGTTAATCTTCCCCACACACTTAGAGTCCGAAGAAGACATAATGGCTTGGCGAAAGAGCCACTGAACGTCCTGGCTTCCCTGCAAAACCAGCAAAATCAAAGCCAAAGGAAAATGTTTTTTCTGGGGGTTCTTGCAATATCGCTGTGTTCATGTTTGTTTCAGAGTTCAGGGAGGAGTTTTAAAGTATGGCAACAAACAAGCCTTTCTCTATAGCAACTGGCCCCTCCAGGACATCTCGGAGTGCCTTACACAATGGAAATGGAAAAGCACTGAGTCGTGAATGCCTCTGCTGCAGATTGAAGGCAACATTAAAAAAGCAACACAGGATTTCAATTTGGCTGTAGAAGTGCCAATAGCAGTAACAATTCAATACCCCATGAAAAAGAATTGCATCATTCTGGGACAGAGAGGCCACTTAAAGCCTTGGGCAAACTGGACGGGATGTTAAAAGCACAGCAAACATCTTTGCACGTATTTATTTATTGCTGAGAAATGTTTGCCAATGTGATGGAAGCTGCCCTCTCATTTATGGATGCCGTGTTTGATCTGATTGCCATCTGCTTTGAGACTAGGCATGAACGAGCTCTTAGCTGGTGAGGCCTCCAGGATGAAGCTAGGTGCAAAGTAGTACGGCAGTCCAGAGCAGGGTTCATTCTTGGGTTTGCATGCTCATATGCCATTTTTCATTGGAGGTGCTTAGCCCTGAACAATACATTTTAGCCTGCTGACAGCCTGCTGTTCAGCTTACCTGGGCTGCAAACCCTGTAGAGGAACCATGTCAAAGCCCAGATGTCCTCTGAGCACAAGTTGCAAAACACTAGACCAGAGTGTAAAGACACCTACCAAAATCCTTCCTTTCCCACCACAGCGCTAGTGCTTTCCCATTCTGCACTGTCTCTAGCTCCCACAAACAGCACGCTCCTCTGTAACAGCAAAACCTGGACCTCCTGCTGAAAGATAACACTGAATAAAATGCTCAACTTGAGGGACTTAACCCAGATCATGGTTGCCCAATGATCCTCCCTGTCTCCTTCCTCCAGCTGGAGTCTCTTACTGCTGATGTGGTGCTTGTAGTAATAGTGATAACGAGTGTCCTCCTCCTGGTTATAAATGCTGTTTTTCAAGTACCTCATCAATGGTGAATTTTACCAAGCAGAAAAAAGGAAAGCTGCTGGGAATTTGCTGGCTAATGCAATCTTGCAGCCGTTACAGAAGAAAAGGGGCTGCAGTGGCAGTTACATTCCAGTGAGTACCCACTGTGAAACACTGTTTACCTAGCGATGTAAAGGAAGGAAAAACAACGGCTGATAGTAAACGTTAGGAAGATTGTAAAGTGAGATCAAGGAATTGTAAGGAAGGCAGTTTATATGGCAGATTTCCTGATCAAATCGGACATTTCAAAGAGTCGCTTAACGGTGAAGCAACGTTGCGGTAAATCAAAAGCATTTATGGGCAACAGAATAGGCAGTTCCCTTGAAGAAGGGTATTCCAGATATATGATTTTAAAGGTTAGTGTGGCTCTGTGCCCACTGAAACTGGAAGGAAATCCTTGAGCCAAAATGTATAAGGATCCAAAGACATGTCTGGGGATTATTTATTACCATCCATTTCCATTGCAGCAATGCTAAGGGCTGACTGCTCTGGACTGGATACCGTGCGAAAAGGAGATAGAGACACAGTTACCTTAAAGTTTTTAATGTGCTCCCTATAATGCACAAGTCGGATAATTGTTCCCAGGGTTGTTCCCAAACCTACTTTTTTCAGATCTGGCTGCAGCAGCCCCAGAAGTTTACGTTCTGCTAGTTGTCCTTTAGCTAGGTGTGATGGGAGACCGTTTGTTTCCCTTTACACTCAATTAGACAAGTCTCACTCGTAGCAGCTTTGCCACAGAGGCAGTGACAAAGGGCTAAGGTGTAACCTCTTAAATTGTTCCTCCTGGCCTAGGACAGCAGGTCTAATTGGTGCCCTCTGCACCAGGGAGCAATAGATACCTTGTCTGGAGAGGAGAGAAACCATGATTAGCTCCAGCTTAGCTCCTCTGAGCAGAGTTACCTCTGTCTGCAGCAGCTGAAAATCAGCCCTTTGGAGCTATTGCCCCTACCTTACCATGGCAGTGAAATACACCCTGAAAAAGCCTGTACAGAAATACTTTACGTGGGCAGGGTTGCAGTGTGGCCTGCACAAATCCTAGCAGCGTCCTTCCTGCACTCTTGTTCCAGCCCAGCATTTCTGGGTCCACGGAAACTGGGTGGCTGAGAGAGGAGAATGTGCGTGCTGTGCTGAAGATGGATGGGATCAGAAATGGTCCTGTATTGCCAGTCCTCTGCTGGTAACGGGGGTTGGGGATGGAGTTCCCCTGGGGCTCGGGCGTTCAGCACTGGGCTTTAGACAACCTTGTGCCCAGTCCTCAGCAGCTGCAGCACTGGGAAACTCGTGGCAACTCCGCTATGCCTCTGTGCTACAGCGGCCTTCCCCGGTGTTTAATGACATTGGCCTCCGCGATAATGATGACTGCAAGCAGTCTCATCTCTCAGGTCTTCTCTAGGAGAATATCAAAGTCCCTCCAAGATGTCTTGTTGCTGGTTTTTTTCCTGCGACACAGCAGTACCAAACCAGCACCAGTATGTTGGAGGGTTGGGGTATGGTGGGAGCCGCACAACCCTCTTCCTGCCGCGGTGGCTTCCTTTGCCCATCTGAGCAGCTCCGCTGCGCAGTCCCGTGCCAACAGCCTTCCCGTGCCAGTGCGCTCTGGAGGCAGCCTGGCCTCTCGCCAGCGCAGCTCTGCTCTGTTTCGTGTCCCAGCGTCTGGGTCTTCCCTCTTGCGTTACACCTGGCCTGAGCGGGGCCGCACCCTGCGCGTGGAGGGCCGGCCAGGCAAAGCTCAGCCCAGGTGGGAGGGACTGGGCTCCTGTTAAATCCAAGGCTCCCGGAGGACCCAGTCCTCGCACAGACTCACCCTTGTGCTGATTTTAGGAGCTCAAGGTGCTGTTAGAGGTATTGCAGCAAGAGTTGTGTGCTGGAGAGGGGGACAAGCAGCTGCAGCTCAGGTACCCACTGAGAGCTGATTTGAATGGCCATCTTTGCCTTTTCCATGTCTTTTTCAGGTCCTTTTTCTCCTCTGATCTTCCATGCTACTGTTCTTTGCAAGTTGTATCAGTTCCTCTCTTCTCTTCCATCACTTCTCTCTCTTCTGCTGCTGTTTTGCATTTAGCTGATGATTATTCTTGTGCCTAGGGAGAAATCTGCTGCAGAAATCTCAAATACGCCAAGACGTGGTTGTTCCTGCCTGAACAATACTGTTGGCTTGCAAAGAGACCAAGGGTTGTTTATTCTGGGTGGGGAGGGCTGTTGGATGTTGTGTTAGAAATGGTATGGTTTTATGCTTATTGCTGAGGCTACGGTTTGGACTTTCCTCAGCAATCTCTGGGTTTTATTTGGTCAGCAGTTACCTTCCTTACTGACCTAGAGTTTGAAGCCTATTTAACATTTCCAGCGGTGTTTGTTGACGATGCATCTGCACAGGTGGTGTAAGATATTTCATTCACTCTGCTGAAGTCTACGTAGCCTGTAGAAACGAGGCCCTGACTGTGCCTGTGTGTGAGTGTGCGCGCCCGGCTTTCCAGTGGGACACTGCGCGGTGACAGTGTTGTGAATGTTCAAGGTAATAAAAATGCCATGTCGGCACGAAATCAGATTAGCTGGAGGAAGTGGTTCATACAGGGCTCAGGAGGAAAATCAGCTAGCTGTGCACTAGTCAAATTTAGATAGGACTGTACTTTCTCAAGCCACTGGAAGTCAGCAAGGAAGAAGTAGGCACTGCGACTCGGCTCAGGCAGCTCAGTATCACGAGGTGCTGTTAAACCAGACCCAGAGTCCTGAGGATCCATCCGTGGACCAGGACAGAACAACAGAGCATCAGGATGATTGCACAGAAGCTGTATCGGTGTGACGATGGAGGTCTGAAGAGGGGAGGGAGAGTATCTGCTCCCACCCCTGGGGTATTTGTGCTTCTTCTCCCTCAGACCCAAGAGAGGAGTGTGGAGCATGGCTTACTGCTTTCAGAAAGTTTCAAGCCCTTGGCTTGAGTGTGAGTGGAGCGAAAGCAAAAAGTGCTGACTGCAAGCTCCAAAGTTTGGGTTTGTTTTGAGGCCAAAGGATGCAGTGCTGTACACTCTCAGTGGGACAGCCTCAGCAGGCGGGCAGACCTACAGCATCCTCCTAAAACGCTTAAAGGTCTGCACACCCCTCTGTGCAGCAGCTCCCCTCCTGTCCCTTGCCTTAGCACCCCAGAAATGCTAGGAAACAGTTTCCTTCATGCTGCAGTTTTCGTCCTAATACTGCTTAAAACAGTCCCACGTGGGGACTGAGGTGAGAACTGCCCATGGTCTCAGAAGGGAAAAATCCAGGCTGATGCTCCAAGAAGCTTGTTAGGACGTCTAGAAAGTCTCAAGTTCCAGTAACTCATTTCAGACATTCCTAGGATTAGCTAATTTGGTCTATTTCTGAACATAAATCCTCTTCCAAAGATGCTCTCCCTGCTTTTGCCACCCTGAGCTTCCTGAGTCCACTGCTAAACTTGCAAAGAGCCAGAGAGAAAACCCTCCTGGCTTGTCTGCAGCCAGTGCTCAGGAAGGAGGACCGGGCGCTGCTGCGACAGAGCGTGCCGGGGGCAGCTGTGCCGGGTCTAATGCTCAGAGGAGCTTTTACCAAAGGGAAGTGCCTCCTGGGAGAGGAGAGGAGCATGGCAGTGGGAGGGGAAGTTATTGGAGTAGCAATTTCAACATTACTAATAATCCTCCACATCCAAAACCCAGGAGACCTCTTTCAGAAGTTTGAAATGCTGCTAAACAAACAAGGCATCTGGGTTGTTCGCAGTGAGATGGCTGGGGGACGATGGCTTCTGTTGCTAAAAAAAACTTAAGGGCTGCATTGGAGCACTTCTCCCTAGCGGAGCAGAAAGAACTCCTTTTGTAACGATCACACCAGTTCTGCCCCCGTCCCAGGGCTCCAGGGACCGATCAAATATCAAGAGTTAGTGATGCTGCCTGGGATTTCATAATGGCTTCTTTTTGCTGCCGACCTTTTTAATCATTGTTGTTAGAGCAAGGGGAGGAGGGCTTTGTCTGACAGGCACCCCCCTCTCCTGAAGGCATGGAGCGCTGCCCCTCCTCAGACACCAGCTGCCTCCTGCTCCAGGTGTCCGACTCCCCGGTACCTGCCCGTATATTAATACTTGCTGTGTGATACCGCTGCTCTCTGTGCTCTGCAGGCAAAACACAGCATAACCATGGCAACTGTTTTTCCTAACTTCCTCAACACGCCCTGCTAATCTAGGCAAGTCACCGAGCAGCCCTCTTAACGATTAAGGGTGTAATGAGCTCTCTAAATCCTGGGTGACCTAGCAGTTGGTTCTTCTCTTCCTGGCAAGTGGATATGTAACAGACCTAGCGAAAGCCTCCCAGGGAGGGAAAAACAGCCCAGAGCTGGCAGCTGGCAGCGGTCATGGTCTTGCTGTTTTGGGGTCTCTGCTCAGAGAGGGAACAGGTCTGTGTCCTGGCTCGTATGTCTTTGCTCCAAATAACCGTGCGGGAACATCCAGGGCTCTGCGTGTGCAGCTGCCAACTGAGGCTGAGAGGCAGCGTTTTCAGCGTTGCTGTTACCGTGCCCGATCTGCTCGAGTCTGGGGAACAGCCGGCCAGAGACAGACCCCGGCACGTGCTGGAGGGCTGCACGGAGCTCGCTTGGTTCCGGCGGAAACCGGAGAGCAGGGCAGGGGGTGCTCGGGGGAGGCCGCGGGCGAACCGGGCTGCCCTGCACGGAGGGACTTTGCTCCACGTGGCCGGGGCTGCGCTGTGCCTGGCGGGTTCGGGGAAGGGCAGGCTGCTCACAGCGCCTTTCGGTGATGTGGCAGCC